ATTTATTTAGGCATAAGCTTTTGTGGGCTAAAACCCACTTCATCGGATGCATGCAGTGGAAAATACAGTAGGAAGATATATATAGATATAAACACAGAGAACATGAAAAATGGGTGTTGCCATACCTTGGAATTAATTTGCAAACTGGACACCATTAAATTAGGCTTGAATAAAGACTGGGAGTGGATGGGTCATTACACAAAGTAAAAACTATTTCCCCATGCTAATTTTCCCCCTACTGTTACTCACACCTTCTTGTCAACTGTTGAAAATGGGTCATCCTGATTATCACTACAAAAGTTTTTTTCTCCTGCTGATAATAGCTCACCTTAATTGATTAGTCTTGTTATGGTTGGTATGGCAACACCCATTTTTTTCATGTTCTCTGTGTATATATATCTTCCTACTGTATTTTCCACTGCATGCATCCGATGAAGTGGGTTTTAGCCCACGAAAACTTATGCCCAAATAAATTTGTTAGTCTTTAAGGTGCCACAAGTACTCCTTCTTTTTACATCTGTTCAGTTTGCTTTAATCATTAAGTAACACTCTTTCCTTTAGAAAATATACCAGATACCTTGGAGGTACTAGAATACCAGGACGATGGGCATGGTGTAAGAACCTGAATAGAATGGAATTCTTCTCATTAACAAGCCACATTTTCAGCTATTCAGTTTAAAACTGACTTAAAACTGACTTCAATCTAGTGGAAGGGAGGAGATTTCATTCTCCGCAACTAGAGGCAAGGGGCTAAGGTTTTTCACCACACAAATTCAACTAACTTAAAATGTAGCTTGATCTGGATAAAATGCCCAAGAGCCTAAGATTTCATAGGGAGCTTTACTCAATCTAGAACAGTGGTTTTCAAAGTTCAGGTCGCGACCCAGTACTGGGTTGCGGCATGGAAGGCACTGGGTTGCCTTGCTCAGCACTCAGGGACCTTGGTAGCCGGCCAGTAAAAACTATTAGTAAAACTAGTAGTCCCTACCTGGAAGTGGCCAGCAGCAGGTCCAGCTCGTAGGCAGGGGGGTCACGGGGCTCTGCGCGTTGTCGCCACCCCAAGCACCGGCTCCACACTCCCATTGGCCAGTTCCCAGCCAGTGGGAGCTTGGGAGGGTGCCTGTGGGCGAGAGTCACGCGGAGTCGCTTGCGTGGCTCCACCTAGGAGCCAGACCTGCTGGCCATTTCCAGGGCGCAGTGCGGACTGTGGTGCCAGGAGAGGCGAGAAGCCTGCCTCTGCACCCCAGCTGCACTGCTGACCTGGAGCCGCTGGAGGTAAGTCCGTGCCCCAACCATGTGCCTCAATCCCCTGCCTCAGCCCTGAGCCCCTCCAAGCCCAGAGCCCCTTCCTGCACCCCCAAGCCTGCACCCCCAGCCCAGATCCCTGACCCCCTCCTGCACCCCAGCCCAGAGCCCCCTCCCACACCCTAAACCCCTCATTCCCGGCCCCACCCTGCAGCCCTCACCCCCGCGCCCCAACCCTCTGCCCCAGCCCTGAGCCCCCTCACCTCAAACCCCTCAGCCCCAGCTCCGTTGGGTCGTGGGCATGAACTTTTTTCAACTGGATCGCCAGAAAAAAAAAAGTTTGAAAACCACTGATCTAGAGGACACTCGAATAGTTTTCGCCTGGTTCTCTTCCCAACTCTCAAAATCAACTAATGCTATGTCTACACTAGAGACCTTACAGCAGCGTAGCTGTACCAATACAGCTAAGCCGCTGTAAGATCTCTCATAGCCACTCTATGCCGACGGGAGAGAGCTCTCCTGTCAACATAATTAATCCACCTCCAATGAGCAGCGGTAGCTCTCCCGCCGACATAGCACTGTGCACACTGCCACTTAGGCTGGCAAAACTTATGTTGCTCAGGGGTGTGTGTTTTCACATCCCTGAGTGACATAAGTTTTGCCGACAGAAACGGTAGTGTAGACATGGCTTAAGACTTCTGGATAATGGAACTGGCTAAGTAAACCATCCTACTCATAGGGGAGCAGCCTTTGCCATGACTCTGTAGAATGGAAGGCAGATATGGTTTTCAAAAGAGTTTGGGAGTGCTGCTCAAGGACCACATTTCTGGGGGCTTATGTAGTTGGAAAGTTCACATGTGTCTTCAAAAGTTCATCTTCAGGCATAACAAGGAGCATCCCATTTTTCAGAAAATGGCTCCCCTAATAGAAATATCCCACACTTTTCTGTGATATGATCTATAATTTCATCAGGGTCACTTTGCAATTGATGGCAGCATCTACCTTGCTCAAAGATGCTTTGGCTGCAAGCTTGGTCAAGAAATGCTGTCCAAAGTGGCCTTGATGGTACACATTTTACTCATGCTCTCTCTTTTTCAGAGAAGGCTTGATGCCTCTTAAAAATGGTGGCGCATAATGCAATCTAACTGGTTTGCCTAGCTAGAACTAGACCCTCCTACAGGAGGATTTTGTCACAAATTATTTTGAGTCCTTCTCCATCTCCTGATAGAAGGCTAAAGTACCTATCCTCTGGCCTGATTTACTAAAAACTAATAAACTAAACTGGTAAGGCAAGTACATGAATGTATAACCAAGTTTTCTAGGGTTTGCATGGGGATATTGCTGAGATTAATTTACATAATCCACACTGGAGAGTTTCCCAACATTGTATGTGAAATCACCTTTCTGAAAACAGGGCATGTCTTTGAAAATGATGAGAAAGCCCCACCTGGTGAAATGAGCTAGAAAAGTGCAGGAAGGAAGAGAGAGTTTAAAACCAAAAGGATTTGTCAGAGATGTTACGAGGGATAACAGTGAGCATATAAAAAGGATAGAGTTGAGGGGGAACCAACCAAGCTATTTGAAGTGTACAGAGACTGAATAGGAGTAACTAGCAAAACCTAGAGGGAAAATCCAGCTGAACCTTTGTCACCAAGATATGAGGGAAAGGTAATGGTATGAAACATCTGAATACGACGATTGGGGAGGAAGTGGGGAGAAAGAGGGAAAACCGTTTAAGATGCAACTGAATTATTTGAAATGTCATGAATAGAACAACTTCCTTGGAGTTAGAAAGTGCATTTGACATCATAATGAAAGAAAAAGATGTGATCTATTTTCAATTCTTCCTTCAAGCATGCAGCAAAATGTACCATGCAGTTGCAAAGTGAGGCTAAATTTCCTTTTAACTCTTAGTGCAAATTGAGTGAGAATGTTTTGCTACTAGTGGTTGCGAGCAGCATAGAATCATAGAACTGTATGGCTGGAAGAGAACTCGAGAGGTTAACAAGTCCAGCACCTGTACTGAGGCAGGATCAAATATATCTAGACCATCCCTGACAGATGTTTGTCCAGCCTGTTCTTAAAAACCTCCAATGATGGGGATTCCAAACCTCCCTTGGAAGCCTAGTCCAGTGCTTAGCTATCCTTATAGTTAGAAAGTTTTTCCTAATATCTACCCTAACTCGCCCTGCTGTAGATTAACCTTCAATGGACATGGAGAACAATTGATCACAATCCTCTCTATAACAGCCCTTACCATATTTGAAGACTGTTATTAGGTCCCTCCTTAGTCTTTTCTCAAGACTAAACACATTCAGGTTTTTTAACCTTTCCTCACAGGTTAGTTTTCTAAACCTTTTATCATTTTGTTTCGCTCTGGACTTTCTCTGATTTGTCCACAGCTTTCTTACAGTGTGGTGCCCAGAACTAGAGAGAGTACTCCAGCTGATCCCTCACCACTGCCGAGTAGAGCAGGAAAATGACTGCCCAAGTCTGACATACAACACACATGCACCACAGAATTATGTTAGCCTTTTTTGCAACTGTGTTCTCCCTATTTATAGCCAGTGCAGGTGGGGTACAGTTCAGTTTCTACCCCTTTTTTGGAGGGCTTGTGTGGCTGGTGGTGATAGTATAAAGCAGTGGCTCTACTCCTAAGACACCCTGTGGCTGATACCCATCCAGGGGCAAGAGGGTGTATGGGAAAGGTAGTTGTGGCCTAAAAACCTAGTAGAGGACAACAAAGAACTAAAGAATTGCACCAGTGGCTGAAAACTTTTTATACCTTAGCTAATGACAGTGACATTGGTGAAATACCAGGGTAGTCCCCTGCCTCCCCAATCTCTGTAAAATATGTTATTGTTTATATATCTTGCTGAATGGCTTCTAGTTTCTAAGGTTTCCATCTTGACTTTATTTTCTTCCTTTCTGGGGAAAGGGAGTTGATTTTTTTTAAGTACTGTTGAAAATGTTTTGACTGTTTAGGATCCAATCACACTAATTGCAGTCCTTAGTATGCCATTCCTAGGAGAAATTAACAACCTCTTGGAACCCACCAGAAACATCAGGGTGTGTCTTGTGTCTGAAGAGTCCAGGTACAAAAATCAGAGAGATAACAAATAAATTAGTGGATGCACCAGGAAGCTGGGACATAACCATGATACTAGCCAACCGTCGTACTTTATGAAAGTCTACAGGGCTGTCATGTGCTCAAATATCCCAGTGATGGGTGATATAAAAATCTACATAGAGGAAGCTTGAAGAAGAGAAGAAGGTTGATCTTGTAGTTAAGAAGTTTGACTGGGACTCTGGAGATCTGGGATTTAGTTCCAGCTCTGTGTCAGACTTCTTGTGTGACCTTGGGCAAATCACTCTTTTATTCCTTAATTCACTGCCTGTAAAATGGGGATATTACTTCCCTACCTCACAGAGCTATTATGAGGTTCAATTAAATGTGTAAGACATGCTCAGATACTACAGTGATGAGTACCAGAAAAGTCTATAAAATAGATGTAAACATGAGCCTATTGCAAACTGGCTTTTGTTAACTCACTGGGATGCTTTGATTTAGACTGGGTTTTTTTCTGTGGCTATTTGATCAAAAGTGCTTGTTTCCGTAGGTGGCCAAGGAAGCTGGAAGTGGTGATATTTCTGTGTCCAGCTCAGACCAGACAGTGATAGACACAGAGCCACCAATGACATTTGGTTAGAGATGAGTCAATGATAATCCTGTTTCATGGCTTGCTCCTTTGCAGGTGTACCAGTACTCGACCAGGAGAGACCGGAATGGATGTGACGAGCCGTTGCACCCTTGGAGATCCCAACAAACTGCCAGAGGGGGTACCACAACCTGCTCGCATGCCCTACATCTCAGATAAGCACCCTCGACAAACCTTAGAGGTTATCAATCTTCTGCGGAAGCACCGGGAGTTGTGTGATGTGGTCCTAGTCGTGGGTGCCAAAAAGATCTATGCACACCGGGTGATACTTTCAGCCTGCAGTCCTTATTTCCGAGCCATGTTCACTGGGGAACTGGCAGAAAGTCGGCAGACAGAGGTAGTGATTCGAGACATCGATGAAAGGGCCATGGAGCTGCTGATTGACTTTGCATACACTTCCCAGATCACAGTGGAAGAGGGCAACGTCCAGACCTTACTGCCAGCTGCTTGCCTGCTCCAGTTGGCTGAGATCCAGGAAGCCTGCTGTGAGTTCCTAAAAAGACAATTGGACCCTTCCAACTGCCTGGGTATCCGGGCTTTTGCTGACACTCACTCCTGCCGTGAGCTGCTGAGGATTGCCGACAAGTTCACACAACATAACTTTCAGGAGGTAAGCTGCAGGGTTTGGGTTCTGGGCATTTCATGTTTAGTGCCTCCTTACAGATCCTGCCCTTCCACCTGCAGTGTCTCTTGTCAGTATTGACTGGCGTAGTAAGAGAGAGAGGATATAGCTGCAGCATTAGTACTAAGTTGCATGATAACTATTCTATATTACATACTAGTTATTTCTCAACTTAATGTTCTGATGTGAATACTACACATATTATAAACAGTGAATGCTGAAAGCTCATTGGTAAGTGGCAATGTGTATGGATTGCATCTGACACTCTGTTCCTGAACAATAGTTTGTGACGTTCCACTCTCCTGAGGTGCTGAATAGTTTAAAACACACACACACACACACACACACACACACACACACACACACACACTCTCTCTCTTACTTACAAAACTAAATATAGTAG